TGCCCCCCCCCCCGGGCGAGTGTGTGACACCCCGCCCGTGCGCTTGTGCGACACCCCGTGTGCTTGTACGACCCCCCCCGTGCGCTTGTGTGACACCCTGTGCGTTTGTGTGACACCCCGTGCGTTTGTGTGACCCTGCCATGTGCTTGTGTGACCCTCCATGTGCTTGTGCAACACCCCGCGCGCTTGTGTGACCTGTCCCATGTGCCTGTGTGACCTCCCCGTGTGCCTGTGCGACACCCCGTGTGCCTGTGTGACCCCCCTGTGTGCTTGTGCGACTCCCCCCGTGCGCTTGTGTAACCCCTCCCTGGGCGCCTGTGTGACCTCCCTGTGCGCCTGTGCAACACCCTGTGCACCTGTGTGACCCCTCACACGCCTGTGTGACCCGTCCCCGTGCGCTCATGTGACCTCCCTGTGCGCCTGTGCATTACCCCGTGCGCATGTGCAACCCTTCCACGTGCTTGTGCGACACCCCGCACACATGTGTGACCCCCCTGTGCGCTTGTGCGACCTCCCCATGTGCTTGTGCGACCCCTCCGTGTGTTTGCGTGACCTCCCCATGCGTTTGTGCGACCCCCCGTGTGCTTGTGTGACCCGTCTCGTGCGCCTGTGCGACACCCCATGTGCCTGTGTGACCCCCTCGTGCACTTGTGTGACATCCTGGGCACCTGTGCAACACCCCATGCACTTGTGTGACCCCCCCGCCTGTGTGACACCCCCACACGCCTGTGCGACCCTCCCATGCACTCGTGTGACCATCCTGCGCGCCTGTGTGACCCGTCCCATGCGCCTGTGTGACCTCCCTGTGCACCTGTGCGAGACCCCGTGCACCTGTGACACCCCCACACGCCTGTGCGACCCCCGCTGTGCACACATGTGACCCCCCCGTGCGCTTGTGCGACACCCCGCGCGCTTTTCTGACCTGTCCCGTGCGCCTGTGTGACACCCCATGCGCCTGTGTGACCCCCTCGTGCGCTTGTGTGACACCCCGTGCGCCTCTGTGACCCCCTCGTGCACTTGTGTGACACCCTGTGCGCCTGTGCAACACCCCATGCACTTGTGTGACCCCCACGGGCGCTTGTGCGACCCCCCCACACGCCTGTGTGACTTCCCCGTGCGCTTGTGTGACACCCCACATGCCTGTGTGACCCCCTCGTGTGCTCGTGTGACACCCCGAGCGCTTGTGGGACCTCTCTGTGCCCCTGTGCATCACCCCGGGCGCTTGTGCGACCTCCCTGCGCACTTGTGTAACCCCTCCCCAGGCGCCTGTGTGACCTCCTTGTGCGCCTGTGCGACACCCCGTGCGCCTGTGTGACCCCCCTGTGCACTTGTGCGACACCCCATGCACTCGTGTGATCTGTCCCGTGCGCTTGTGCGACCTCCCTGCGCACTTGTGTAACCCCTCCCCAGGCGCCTGTGTGACCTCCCTGTGCGCCTGTGCGACACCCTGTGCGCCTGTGTGACCCCCCACACGCCTGTGTGACCCCCTTGTGTGCTCGTGCGACACCCCACGCGCCGCACGCCTGTGTGACTTCCCCGTGTGCTTGTGTGACACCCCGAGCGCCTGTGTGACCCCCTCGTGTGCTTGTGTGACACCCCATGCACTCATGTGACCTCCCCGTGCGCCTGTGCAACACCCCGTGCGCCTGTGCAACACCCCGCGCTCCCCTTCCCCCCCGCGGTGACGCCGCCGTCCCCGCGGCCCCCAGGACGGGCGCTCGGTCAGCAAGCGCGGCGTGAGCTGCCAGTTCGGGCCCGACGTGACGCGCCGCTTCCTGGAGCGCAACCGCCTCGACTACGTCATCCGCAGCCACGAGGTGAAGGCCGAGGGCTACGAGGTGGCCCACGGTGGCCGCTGCGTCACCGTCTTCTCCGCGCCCAACTACTGGTGGGTGGCACCTCCCCGCGCGGGTCTCCTTGGCGCCCTCGCGGTGGCCTCCGTGTCCACCGGCCTCCCTGTGGTGTCCCCGTGGCCACCAGACGCCCCATGGTGTCCCCGTGTCACCCCCATGGTGTCCCCATGGCCACCATCCCCATGGCCACCAGCCTCCTCGTGGTGTCCCCATGTCACCCCCATACCCGTCTCTCCATGACATCGCTGTGGTGTCCCCGTGTCACCCCCATGGTGTCCCCATGGCCACCAGCCTCCTCGTGGTGTCCCCATGTCACCCCCATGGTGTTCTTATGTCCATCTTTCTATCCATGACATCCCTGTGGTGTCCCCATGGCCACCAGACTCTCTATGGCATCTTCATGGTGTCCCCATGTCACCCCCATGGTGTCCCCATGGCCACCAGCCTTCCTCTGGTGTCCCCATGCCACCCCCATGGTGTCCTCGTGTGCACTCATCTCTTCATAACATCTCTGTGGTGTCCCCGTGTCACCTCCATGGTGTCCCCACATCACCCCATGTTGTCCCCATGGCCACCAGCCTCCCTATGTCGCCCCCATGGTGTCCCCATGTCACCCCCATGGTGTCCCCATGGTGTTCTTATGTCCATCCTTCTTTCCATGACGTCCCTATGGTGACCCCATGGCCACCAGACTCTATGGCATCTTCATGGTGTCCCCATGTCACCCCATGGTGTCCCCTTGTCCACCTACCTCTCTGTGCTGTCCTCATGTCATCCCTGTGGTGTCCCCATGGTGCCCCCATATGCACCAGCCTTTCTGTGACATCTTTATGGTGTCCCCATGTCACCCTCATGATGTCCCCATGTCTAGTAGCCTCTCCATGGTGTCCCCATGATGTCCTCATGTCCACCTGCCTCCCCATGGTGTCCCTATGTCACCCCATGGTGTCCCCATGGCCACCAGCCTCCCCATGGTGTCCCCATGTCACCCCCATGGTGTCCCTATGGTGCCCTCATGTCCACCCCTCTCTCCATGTCACCCCCATGGTGTCCCCATGTCCCCCCCATGGTGTCCCTATGGTGCCCTCATGTCCACCCCTCTCTCCATGTCACCCCCATGGTGTCTCCATGGCCACCAGCCCCTCGGTGTCCCAATGTCCCCCAAACCTCTCCCCTGTGTCCCTATGCCCCGACGCCCCCGTGTCCCCCCATGTCCCCTGTGTCCCCTCCCATGTCCCAGTGTCCCCCCAATCTCTTCCCTCCCATCTCCCCACGCCCC